AATTGATTCTCATATAAATTTTCTTAGAATATTCTTGTCCTGGGAAATTTGGTAATTATATGTCAACTTGGCTGGGCCATAGTGCCTAGATATTTGTTAAAACATTATACAGGATTTTTACCAAATGGTGTCTTATGGATGAGATTAACAATTAATTTAGTTTGAGTAAAGCAGAATGCTCTCCTCATTATTACTGGATTTCATTCAATAGTTCAAACTTTAACTAGAACAGAACACCTGAACAACCGTGTCTGGAGAGCTTCCATATTGTTGATCCACGTGCTGTGAGGGTGATGTACCCCAAATTCATGGGAACAGAGGCTTCTGCACTTGGACCACTTCTAGATCTTATCTGTATACTTCTACCTCTGGCTGCTTGTTTGTACCCTTCATAAACTATAATAATAAACGTCCTTTACCTAGGTTCTGTTAGGTTTTCTATGAAATTATCAACACTTAGGAAAAAGGCTACAGAAACCTCCAACATTGTACCAGGTAAAAGAGAAGTGTAGTAACCTAGGGTCTCCATGCTTGTTCTGGCATGTTAAATGAGGGAAGTCTTGTGGGAAGAGTCCTTGAACTTTTAGAATGTGACATTAACATAAGTTAGTCTTAGGATTCAATAGCAGAACTCCCAGTTGCTGGTGGAGAATCACATACTTGGATGGGTAGAGGGAAAAAAATCCCTTGCCATCTCTCAAAGGAAAATTCCAGAACAAAAGATGAGCAAAATATGAGGATTTACTTCATGTCCTCAGATCTGCTAAAAACAATGCTACCAGCTAATCATGGTCCAGATTGACTGTAGCACCATATCTAAACTGGAAGATTCAGGTTTTTTAAGTCCTTTGCAGCACTCAATACAAAAGACTGATAGATGTTAGAGGTTCTCTCCCTAGAAACATTTTCATGCACAAGAAAATATAAATATTCATAGAAAACATCAGTGTACATGCAGATTCTCTGAAGAGTATAGACCTGGCTATTTTAACACTACTAATAAGAAACAAAGGCTAGGAGGTGTTTTTAGTGACCATTCACCATCCCACAAAGACTTCAATTGTCTCAAGTATAAGCTGATATAGACCAAAACTGGATCTAGTAACACATTTTCAAGGGAATGTATGAGAAGATGCCATTCATTAGTTACTTCTTCATATCCAAACCTGAGAATCTACAAACAACACATAAAGTTCTTGTCCCTGATCACTGTTCCAAAAATTAGAATGTTCCATTCTTTCTCTATTCCTCAGCCCTGGCACTAAAATCTCTTCCTAAGTTAGGGTAATTCCACACTTTCATCTTGTTAAGAGTCAGAAACCACTTCTCTCCATAAAAGGACAAACTCCACCTCCCAGGCATTATTACAGGGGAACACAACATGAGGCTTCAGCTCCACCAGTCAGATGACCACATGCTGGACTCTGACAAGGACATAATGACAGAGAAGCTGGGGAAGGGCAGACACATTTGGGATAGTGGCTCAAGTGGAAGTAGTAATGACCAGTTCCCAGCATAAGCAGCAACAGCAGTACCAGTCACAGAATCCATTGTTAGTCATCAGAGTATCAGTGTGATCAGTGGCACCTGTGCCAGCAGCAGGGACAGTGGAGCCTATGTGGGATCTGTCCTAGGGTAAGATTGTAGTTTCTGTCCTTTGCTACATAACATTAAGCCTGGTTCTGTGGCCTTCCCAAACATGTAATTAGCTCCCAATTTGATATATACTTTACATTAAAGTGGAAACATTTTGGATTCCAGTATTTACTCTAAGAAGTGACAAATGGGTTTGGGGAGTCATTTCAGAGATATTCTCCATGCTGAGCTCTGATCAACTTTCTGCTTAGTCCACCTGGTTGTACCTCATGGGGTGAAAACAACATGATCTTCCAATTCACATATCATGATTGACAATATAAGTCCACCTTTTCTTTCTAAGGAAAAAAACTTTAAGGTTTTAACACATATCCCACCCTGGGATAGCTTTGATCACACACCTCAATCCCAATGAGCACTAGGATGGCCTTTGTTATAAAGAGAATAATAATTTATACTTCCACCTAACATGATAATACTCTCCTGCATACAACTGAACTACACCATCCCTTTCCTAACACAGGATGCAAAGTCCCTCTGTGATGTACTCTCCTCCTCCCATTGATAGACATCCCAAAATGCAAGACACTAAGACATACACTTAACAATGCTTAATACTATGATAAACAGTCAAAATTATTTGTTATGTATAAAAGGGTGAGATTCAAGAAAATAAGTATATTTGATTAATAAATACATACCACAAACATATTCATAATACAATAAAGAAGATATGCAAATGAAAATTACAGTCCTCTCCTCTGAAAATGGTCATGTGTTGCTGCTGGTACTCATAACTATCTTCTTCCACCTCCCATTCCATATTCCCTTCAATTCAGCAAGTAGTTCAGCTGCCTGTGGCATTTCTCCTGCTGTGGTGATGCCAACCTTCATTCCTGAAGGGTCTTGGCCACTCTTACTCCTGCCTGGGTTAGGTTGATGTAGTTTCCCATGGACATTAATCACAGGGAATATAACACTAAGAGGCACCCTAAGGGACTCCTGTATTCCAGACATTCTCTTCCCTCCTTCCTGGGGAGCAGCTGTCCCATGTCCCCCTGGCTTCCAGGATCCACCACTCAGGCCCACCAGCTAACTCCACTCTTGGGCTCTTGACTCAAAGCAAGAAGAGCCCAACATGGCCAGTGACAGTTGTCCTTTCCAATTCAGTGAACTCATTGTTGTCTCTTGATGGAAGCATTTCTTCTGTGAAACTAAGATCTCCAGGCCAGCAGGGCATAAGGTCTTGGAACAGGAAGCACATAGTGGGTCACTAGGGGCCATAGTGAGAGTTGCCACTCCCATTCCCATTTCTTGATTCCTGTACCGATGAATCCTGGCTGTTGGGAAAACAGTACCACCTGTCAGACACTAGTTCAGAGCATGTGCAGCCTCCTGAGGGACCTTGACCCAGCTGCAAGGTGTCTCCATGTAGTTGCCACTGTCATGGAGTCTTCAAAAGGCCATAGCACCCCTCATCAATCCAGGTACCTCAGGAGGAGGGAGAAGGTGGTAGGAGCAGAGATTCCGAAGAAGTTCCAGCTGTGGTCACATTTCTTTGGCTGTGAAGGAATTTCTGGGGCAGAAGCAGAGCTCTGTGGACACCATGACAAGGCATTTGTCAGATGAAGCCCAAGCTCTCTAGGACCTTTAGGCTACAGATCTGGAAGCCCCTCTGACATCATCTCAGTCTTTGTCTTCTCTTTTATGCGCGCACACACACACACACACACACACACACACACACACACTCTTACACATTCATTCTGCCCTGTCACTTGCAGTGCACTTCCCCTGGCTTGGAAAGAACTCCTCCAGGTGTCCTCATAGCTAATTACCTCAGATCCTCACGTTTCTCCTCAAATCTCACTTTCTTCATGATGCCCACGCTGCCCACCCCAGTACACAGCCCTCTTCGCTGCCTCACATCAAGCACTAGATCACCTTCCCTATATTACTTGCCACTTCCTGCCATGAAAACTACCCACTGCCTAGATGAAATTTTCTACCTCTGCCCACCAGGACATCTGCTCCTCAGAGAGGACAACTGATTTAATTTCACTCATGTTTCCCAGGTACAGAACAGTGTAACAGATCTGACACACAGTAAGTATCAGTTGGATGAATGATCACTCCGGAGCATCTCCCTCTTCTAGAGACACTATCATTATTAATGGAGCCTCAGGCCAAAGGCTGCTTGTGGCAGCTACAGCACAATGTCCTGTTCACACAGAAGTCCAGGCTGCCTGGGCTCTTCTCATAAGAGCGCTCTTCCTCCCTTCCTCCACCCACACCAGCCTTCTCGCACTCCACAGCACATCTTTTCATTTGCTCCTTTGGGGGGGGGGAACCTAAGCAGATGGATTTAATTTTCCACCAGATATAATTTAAATTAGATGCAAAGCAAAAGACAAGAACTCATTTACAAGAATAAGAACAGGCATAATCCTCTACAGAAACAAAGAAACAAATCACAAAAATGGGAGCTAAGGGTTGAACTCAGGCATGATCCAAGCTGATCTGGCCACACAAATCCTTCCTGCCTTTGGTCCTGGACACAGGACAAAGCTCAGGAAATATCTGAGTCCCTGTGATCACAGGTCCTAGTGAACAAGACTCTATTGAGGTACAACCAGCTGTTGAGTGACCATATCCAAGCCCACAGAGGACTGAGCACAGCCTGGCTACAGCCCTACCCATATGCAGCTCCTCACGGCCTTCTCCTATGCCCACTGCAGCAGACTCAGCACAGCAAACACATGGATTCTGGGAGGTTCTCAGATCTCAATTTGTTTTCTCTCACAAATTGTGGAATATTGTGCCCCTTGAATAACCTCGCCAATCTCTCTATAGGTAAATTTTAAAAAAAAAAAACATTCATTCCCAGATTCTTATTTTCAATGGTGAAATAAGAAGATGCAGCTCAATGCAACATAAAGTTAAACCAGGGGTAGAGACATCCTGGCCCTTTTCTGATACAGAAGGGAACACAGGTTCTATTGGGCAGGGATAGGCTGGTTATTCCACCTCTTCATATTTTATCAATAGGAACTCAGACACATTCAGAGCCATTTGCAGAAAAACAATTAGGAACATTCACTAGAAGTGGCAACATTCTGAACATCACTCACTCAAAAGTTCCATATTCAGAGTCCCCAGAACCCAGCTGTGCCCCTCCATTCTGTCTCTTCCCCCTTTCCCGCCCTCCTTTAGAAGTCATGAGAGACTCATTAAACCCCTGGGATTCTTTCCTGACCAGGGTAGAACAAGAGCTAAAGAAAAGAAAACTACTCAGAGTCCAAAAGAGCTATAGCTAAAGAGAATCATAGGGTAGGTGAGCTCCCTACTGGGCTTCTGTTCATACTATCCCAAGGGTCTCAGTGATCATACTCCAACCCATACTTATTTGTAGCCTGAGTGTAGCTTTTTCCTTTCCAACAGTAGATAGAAAGTGTCCTGTGAGAGGTCAGGTAGGATGCAGGGCCATGAGGTTCTAGAGGAATCCCCTGGTTCTAAACCAGTGACATTTCCAGGACTGTGACTGCAGACCCAGGGAAGGATCAGGAAGCATGAGGAAAATGACTCGGGACTGCTGGGAATCAGGTTCATACGGTCATGATCACCAGGGTGAAAAGTTTCCTGTTTTTCACCTGTGCTTTTTAAGAAAGTTTCAGCACACAGGGCCTCACTCTGGGGACCCATGCATGTGAATGGTGCTCCTCAGCAATAAGGCAAAAGGCTGGAAAACACCTGCCTGTTGCTTGAAACCCATAGGGGGACAAAAAATTCAGACTTCACCTCATTTTTATCAGCCAGTTCCACTTCACACTAGCAAACCCAACTCCAAAGAGAAGGAGGCCAGGAAGAATTCCAATCATAGAGAAGGTGTGCTGACGAGATAACTCTGGGAAGGGAAAAGAGGGAAGATGAGATACAGTAACCACCAGCTCTCAGCCCTGAGAATGGCTCCTGCTTTCTTGGCAGGAGGCTTTATGCCCTCATCCCCTCCTTACCCCATCTCAGGGTGAGGGGTTCAGGCAGCCCCTCATGATGCACATGGCATGTGTATTTCTGCTCCTCCCCAGCAGGCACCACCACAGCTGCCCACTTCTGGAAGTTTCCATCCCCTGCAGGCCTGGTCTCCACAAGCTCCATGTTCTGAATCTGGTCCTCCCCATCTCTCTGCCAGGTCAGGGTGATCTCCTTAGGGTAGAAGCCCAAGGCCCAGCACCTCAGGGTGACATCTCCTTCAGGGCTTAAGTGACGGGTCACATGTGTCTTTGGAGACTCTGAAGGGAAGAATTAGAAAAATAAGACATTTTGGGGCTGGGGCTGTAGCTCACTGGTAGAGTGCTTGCTTAGCACATATGAGGCATGGGTTCGAACCTCAGCACCGCATAAAAATACATAAATAAAATAAAAGTATTGTGCCCATCTACAACTAAAAATATTTTTTTTTAATTAGACATTTTACATTACCTCCCATGGCCACTGAACCAGTGCTCATGTGAACATACTAAGTCAGACAGGACAATGGAAGTGAGGAAGGAAAGCAAAACCCAAGCACCAGCCTGGACTCAAGCTTCTGAGATAATCTCCTTTTCCTTGGAAAGTTGTAGAATCAGACTGACCAGGGAAAGATGCCCCAGGTCTCTAAGAGGGACTTCAGGTTCTGACCTGAATGGAGGCCCAGAGATTCACAAAACCTGGAGTCCAACCTCAAACAATTTGAATGTGGAGCTGAGAACAAGGCCTGAGAAAGTCACCTTGTGGTACCCAAGGCTGCTGTCAGGGTCCAAGCAATGTGCTCTTAAGTTTGTTCAGAGATCTTCTCCCTCCCCATTCCAGGCAGACTTGATGCCTTAATTGTCTTGAGAGGAGGGAAGGCCCTCTGGTATTCTGTTAGCAATTCCATTTTTGTCCAAACTATGTCGGGCTCCCCTCATCCCCTGGTACCTGTGTGCAGCAACTTGTCCTTCCCTTTCTCCAGGAATCTGCGGAGCCACTCCAGGCACTCCTCCTGCAGGTAGGCCCTGTAGTGCTCTGCATCTCCTGAATCCTCCCATTTGCGCTGGGTGATCTGAGCAGCCTTGTCCCAGGAGGTCCAAGAGCGCAGGTCCTCATTCAGGGAGATGTAATC